AGAATTTGCTCTTGAACTTGTTGGAGAGGTCGTTCCAACCGGTTATGGAGCCTTCCTTGAGCCCTTTGGTGATCCAGGATTGGGCAACACCTTTGAGGGTCGTAGGAAAGTATTTACACCAGGTAGCCTCAGACCTCGGGTTCAGATACATGTGCCCCTCGTAAGAGGCAATGTGATCCTTAGGATCTGAGGTACCATCGTAAGTAATATGTGCCGGGATTTTGACCGTTGGCACATGCTCTTCCAGAATCCACTTCTGGAAGGGCGAGTTCGATGGAACCATGACCGCCTTCCCCTTGTACCCGGCCTCAGGGACCTCGCTCCCTCCTCTCTCAGAGGTGGAAGTGGTTTTCGTCCCCGGCTGAGACAAGGTTGGGTGGGGTCCGGTATCCTCTGGGAAGGTGAGGCGGCTATGCACACTCACCTCCCTCGAACCCAAGCGTTCGTGAACGCTTTGGCGGGCGAATTCCGGGTCCTTGGAGGGCCCCATGGAATTCTGAGCTTCAGAGTGGTCAGAGGGTTGAGGGTTCCTCCTCCTCTCCTTACTGGAGTTTCGGGTGTCCCCTCGCCACCTCTGGCCGAGCTCTCTATGTGGTGGAACTTGTCCACCATCATCCTGACCGATCCTCCTTTTCAGGTTTCTCGGCTGGTGATCATCAGGCATCTGGATTGGAGCCCCTTGAGCTTTAAGGAACTCCATGCAGATGGCCACTGCTCTGGCCACTTCCCCGGTGGAGGGTCCGGAGGGAGGAGTCTCCCGCGGATGTGACCTGGATTGCACGCTATGGCGCGGCGGGGAGTTCCTCGCACCTGAGCCACTCGGTCTCGGGGATGGCCCCGGCTGCCGAGTGTGGTGCGAGGTGTTCTCCTCCTGGAGGCTAGGACCTCTTGAGGCTTCCCTTTCCGGAGAAATGGGGGCCTCCGATTCGGAAGAGGCTTGCTCCGGGGAGGGATAAACCGGCTGGCGTTCCCTCACCGTAATCCGGCCTCCTCCCTTCTTAGCCTTCTTGGAACTCTTTCCACTCTTAGTCATGGCGACTGCCGGAGTGTTTGATGACTGACGCGAAATTTAGTAGCGTTCCCCACAGACGGCGCCAAATTGTTTCGGATGTCCCCTCGCCACCTCTGGCCGAGTTGTCTATGTGGTGGAACTTGTCCACCATCATCCTGACCGATCCTCCTTTTCAGGTTTCTCGGCTGGTGATCATCAGGCATCTGGATTGGAGCCCCTTGAGCTTTAAGGAACTCCATGCAGATGGCCACTGCTCTGGCCACTTCCTCGGTGGAGGGTCCGGAGGGAGGAGTCTCCCGCGGATGTGACCTGGATTGCACGCTATGGCGCGGCGGGGAGTTCCTCGCACCTGAGCCACTCGGTCTCGGGGATGGCCCCGGCTGCCGAGTGTGGTGCGAGGTGTTCTCCTCCTGGAGGCTAGGACCTCTTGAGGCTTCCCTTTCCGGAGAAATGGGGGCCTCCGATTCGGAAGAGGCTTGCTCCGGGGAGGGATAAACCGGCTGGCGTTCCCTCACCGTAATCCGGCCTCCTCCCTTCTTAGCCTTCTTGGAACTCTTTCCACTCTTAGTCATGGCGACTGCCGGAGTGTTTGATGACTGACGCGAAATTTAGTAGCGTTCCCCACAGACGGCGCCAAATTGTTTCGGATGAAAACAATCGAATCTCGGAAGATCCTTTTATCTTGAGGGAACTTGGTCTCGGTCCGAACGACGCAGGAGCCGAGGGTTTCCTGCACAACAAATACACGTAAACTAGCCTCGGGGGGGACGCCGAGGAAGGCCCCTCCGATGCTTAAGTCAGTATATTAGAGAGAGAAAGCTGTGCAAGAGTTTAGTTGCTTGAGGCTTTATTGTCTTACCAAGAATTGACCAAATTGTTGGCTTTTATACCTTGGCTAATGAAGGAGGCGGATTGGGCCCGGAAGTCAGTTGGGCTGGGCCAAGCTGATTGGGCCGTTGACTGACCTTGACATGGCTTTGAGGATGTTGATTTTTGACTTTAGCACATTTGGAGAGTTGAACCTTAACCTTGGGCTTTTAATTGGATCATTCAGTGACCAGGCCCAATTGGACTAAATTGGACCCAAACAATTACGTTTAATCAATTAACCTTATTTTCATCCACAAAATTGTATCAACTTCTTAAAAACATGTGCAAAATACAAAAGTAAGACTTTTAATTAGAGACAAAGGAATTAATAACAACATTATAAGCATCATCACTTAATAGCTAATACTTGTAGTATATACGAAGTATATGCATTAAAAAAAAATGAAGTAAATATCCAATTAGGCAGTCTGTTAAGACCAAAAGAAGTATCTTTATTAATTAAATCAAAGTAAGTTTATTGAGACAAAATTAAATTAAAGTAATACTTGTTGTTACAAGAAAAAGTCTGTGATTGAATTCAACTTGACACCGTGTTCACTATTCATTGATTTTGAATGGAAATTACGGGTCATCCTGTCTCCATTAGGTCACATAAACTATGATTACTTTTATACAAGACTTAAAATAGAATATTATGAAATTATAAAAATTGTTCATATTATTTAAGATAAGTGCATGTTTATTGGTACGTAAATTAATATATGAAATTATTTAGCAATAAAATATACAGCTTGTAACGTTAATCATATGCCAGTTGTTCACTAAATCTACGCAATTTAGGTGGAGTATAATTAAAGGATTTGGTGGGTTTATCGAATCTTATTTGTGACATCTTCACATTGTGTTCTTTTAATTTTCTTCTTATCCTGATCAAACGTGTGAAGCTTTACTATTATATCCCATTCACTTCACCTTATTTTTGCTGAGTTGAAATTATTTTTACTGAACTGAAATTAATTTTACTGAATGAACTTAAATTATTTTTACTGAAATGATAATAATTTTAATGAACTGAAATTATTTTTACTGAATTGAAATTATTTTTACTGATTTTCTATTATAATTCTTCTTTAAATTTACTGATTTTTACTGAAATAAAATTATTTTTGCTAAAATGAACTTAGTTTTACTAAACTGAAATTACTTTTACTGAATTGAAATTATTTTTATTTAATATTATTATTTTTAAGGTGAAGTGAACAGGGTCTTACGCCCATGTAAAATGATAGCGTCAAAAGATTGTTACTTGATACGGGACGTGATATGTACATTTCATTTCTAGCTACCATATCCGTATAATTTGCATCTTATTTCGTATGGGAATGAAATGTAGAGTAAGATCAAGAAGGTGTGATTAAAGCGAATGTTGGATGGATAGTGAGATTTTACTATGTATCAAGTAATAATCAATGTAAGATTTTAGTGACTTTGGCTTTGGTCTGGTTCTTTTGAGCTTCTGGAGAGAGTAGGGGTAGAGCAGATTTTGGTAGAGTAGATTTCAACATAGCAGAGCAGGGCATGACTTTTACACACTGCAGAGGAGAGTGGTTTATAGCAGAGTAGAGCAGATTTCAACAAAGCAGAGTAATTTAGAAGAACAGGGCCTTAGTGGTAATAAGTTGAACTAGTAATTGAATTAGCCAAAGCCTTTAGCCTTGATCTAGTGGTAAGAAGTCCGTCATTTATTTTTATTTTTATTTTATTATTGAAGGTGAAGTCTGGAAATCACATGATCAACATGGTCTTTTCATGTTGATGAAATGGTCTTGGAATGACCCTTTGCAATACATCAAGGATTCGCTGGTGTTTATTTGTCAATTTTTGCTGTGTACTTTGACTTTTTTTCAAATATTGAATATGATTGATCTTAGAGGATACAAGATCAAAATTTAATTTTGCTAAAATTCATTTCAATTTTCAATTAATCGAGGGCATAGTCTTAAAGTAAAAATGATAGATATTAGAGTTCCTTCAATTATTAAGAAAAGAAAGTACTTTATATACAACATAGTTTCAAGACTTTAACATGTAACCTTTATGTTTTAACTTTTAGTATATAGAGGTTTTTCCGTGTGGCGGGCCACATGGTGTGGCAGAGGTTAGTTGTAGGGTGTCACTGGTTTTATCAGGGGTTACTTGTAAGTGTTACTTCTACTTTGGGTTACTTGTATGAGATACTTATAGGTATTATTACTTATATTTTGGGGTTAGTTGTATGAGTTACTTGTATTCTGAGTAACCCCTACAAGTAACCTCAGACCAAACCCCCATACCAAATAAGTAACACCCGATCAAAATCAGTAACATCCTACAAGTAACCCCAGAATACAAGTAACACTCTGACCAAAACCAGTAACACCCTACAAGTAACCCCATAATACAAGTAACACCCTAGCCACATACAAAAATTTGTATTTAACATATGCACTAACTAGACACTTTTGTAGTATTGATGCTTACAATACACGCTGTTGTCAAAAAAAAAAAAAATAGAGCTAGTGCACTAGCTAGTCTCAATTAAGGATATATGCTAATTAAAAAACTAGACTAGATCAAAAAAATGGATCGGACTACTTAAACTGATAGACTAAACGAAGAAAATTGTTCCTAACTCCGGATTAAACAATATAATTCTCAGGTCTAATGTCCAAAATCCTATTAGGTTTTGGACTAGACTTGTTTTTATTAGTTAAAAATTATGCATTAAATAACTAAAATGAATCCTTTTTCCTTTACAATGTTGGGATATTTTTACAGGGTTCTTGCTAATGAGCACCTTAATAAGGCATTAGATAATGATTTACATACCAAAATCATTCGTAGATCGATCGGTGTAATTATTTTCTTATTCTAATTTAATATAGTAGTATTCTCGTTTAGTTGTGTTATCAAATGCCCCCAGTTAGGGGCTAATCGGGCAAGTTGAGTTCGAAATATGGTAAGCTCAACTTGTGTTCATTTAAGTTTATTCGAACGCGAGCCAAGCTTGAAACTTTGCGAGTCGAGTTTTGTAACGCCCCGACTTTTAATCGGCGTCATCGGACCGTATATAACTCGTCATTCGCAGCGAAATTAATTAACCATAGATAAACCATTCTTTAATCATCATACTAAGCAGAATCAATTATATATAGATAATCTCATAGCCACCTGTGGGTTATGGGCCCACAAATAAACATACTCCTTAATGAGAATATTCAATAAAAAAAAATACAACTTCAGTCTTCCAAACTGTAATAAAATAATCAATCTATCTCAGCTCTCGATGATCCATAATACATAAGCCTTGATTCCATAATCCCTAAACTAACTAAATTCCTTTAATCCCTTTGCTTTTGATTAATTTCAGCTCTGTCATCATTATCCCTGTAATTATCCATAAAAATAGAAAACATAGGAAAATCCAAAAATGAATTGAAAACTCAGTAACATTACTCTAGCCTGTAAAAACAGTTTTTCTTTCAAAATCATTTGAGCATATATCATACATACATAGTTGTTCAGAAATAATCTAACATCATTAGTTTTAAAAGTTGTGTCGGCAAGGATCATTCCCTTTATGTAAGATCATAGGTAAGTACAAGTTTTGGACATAACATAACTTTCATTCGTGTGGGAATGTTTCCCCCTTTCATTAACATACTTTCCTCCACCTGTAACTCGCCTATTTTCAACGTTCAGTTCACTTTCCAATGCCGACAAAAGTTTCATCTATCGTATCATATTAAATCATTTCAGAACAACTTTACACTTCATAAAAATTCATAGCACATTGACACATATCATAATCATTAATTCGTAACACTTAATTGAATAAAATAATCATTAATGGTAAACATTTAACAGGGGCTTAACATAACAACTCACTTACACATAATTTATAAATTAATAAAATAACTAGAAATACATGTCGTTCATAGCATTCTTATCACCTTGTATGATGTTAAGATATCTTTATGAACTATCGTACATATCAGTACATCGTAAAACTCATCAATAGAGTATCCTTGTGAGTTCTCATAAGTCCTTTAATAAAATTCATGTATTCGTAATCTTTTTTGTGGACATGCTAGTCGCTGGACAGTATGACATGGCGAAACGTCTTCCGCGATGGGCCGGTGCCCATAACATAGAGCAGGTGCTCGACATAGTTGGGCTGGTGCCCATGGGTACATGCATTGCATGACCAAAACATAACATATACTGCCAGACGAACTAGGGCTTTCACTTTCATTTATCATGTTGTGTACCTTTTAACAGTTTATTCGTAGATTATTAACATACTTTCGAGAGATCCACAAATCAATAAAACATTGTACATATATAAAATCATTCATATATATCAGAAGACTGAAATACATTAATAAACATGTTTATCATATTGCAAGTCATTAAGAATATATACAAGGATATAAAAGATCATGTCATGTCATGTGCACATAATACACTTTTAAATCATAAAATACCAAACATATCATATAGGCTTACATGTGAGGTAGTAACAGGCCATTTAAGATTACACAAGTGCATTCATGATTACCAGACATAATTGTCACACATACGGGACTAGACACAGTTGTTAAACATAATAGTTACATATACGAGACTAAACACAATTGCTAGACATAATGGTTACCTCATTCGATCATCCTTAATCATCTCACTTAGCTTGTTCTCCAATAATCATCATTCGAACTCTCAACCTCCGTCATAAATTCCTCATCATCATGATTTATTCGATCATACCCAAAAATAATAAATACTCATTAATAACTTCTTAATTCAAAGTCTTTGATAAAACAAGTATAAAAATATTTTTAGAAACAAAACAAGTATTACCTCATTTTGAGTAAAATGAGCATTACTTTAAAAATAGATACTACCACTATTTATATTACTAGTAGAAAATAGATTAAAAACATATATACTACTACTATTCATATTAGTAGTGAATAAGATTAAAATTATAAACACTCAAAATCATAAATTATATTTAGTATGAAAACAATAACAAAACTCATTTGAGAAATGAGTATTATTACTACGTAAGTTATCTAAGTATATGATAGTATGACCATTTAAAAGCAAATGCTACCATAATCATTAATTTAAGAAATAAGAGTAGTTTTCCCAAAGTAAAAGTCAAACTTATACCAAAATTACAAGCAAAAAGAGTAACTTACTTTGGGTTTATTGAAAAGTAGCTCAAGAACTTAGTCTTAGGAGACTATTTTTGGAGCAAGAACATAATCATGAATGATGGATAGGGATTAGTGAATGATGAGCGACAGCCATGGTGTCGATAGCTTCTTAAGTCGTTGGAATAAATGTAGGAGTATTAAGTGTTGCTAATAAGCTTTCTAGAAGAAAAATAAGAGATAAAGTTTGGTACGTGATAATCATGGAAATTGTGCAACAAACGATAAAAATTGAAGCAAAGATGAAATAGTCCTCTTTGCCTTAACCGTGAAGAAGTGATAACTATAGTTTGATAAAAATAGAAATTGGATGAGGCAAAACTTGGTCTTATCTCAAGTAATTTCTTAACCATAAAGGAAGAATTAGGAAGAGGTGAGGTGGTAACGTTTAACACTTAAGTGGTATTATTAAAATAACATGAAAGAAAAGGAATGATAAGATCAAATTTCCTATTGTGATAATCATGGATTTGAGCAATAATTATAAAGGAGCAAAAACTAGACTTTGTATCATTAATTCCTTAACCGTGAAGGACAAGGAGAAGGAGAAATAAAGAGGCAGGTTTTGTCTCTTTTGGTGAGCGAGAGAATTTAGTCATTTCACTATCTCTTTAAAAATATAGATTTTGATGCAAATCTTTAAATAGTTAACGAAACATAAAAATATCATTTGAACGAAATAAATTTAACAATAAATTACTTTCTTTTGTAAAATTTGCTTCTGAAATGATCTATTCTTATAATAAAATTTAAGACTAAAACATTTTTAATGGTTAAAATAGAGATTAAAACTTAATCAAGCTTATAATATAGATTAGAATATAATAAATCATGTTTTAAAATCTCGGGTATTACAAGCTTTGACCGAGCTGAACTCGAATTGTTCACGAAAAACTAGGGGTGAGCAAACCGGGTACCCAGTCATAATTTTAGGACCCGGACTTCGAATTGGTTGGAACCGGGTCCTAAAATTCGGATTCGAAATTGGAATTGGTTCAACCGGGTCCTTAAATTTAGGAATAGGTATTGGAACCACCAGGTACCGGATCCGGTTCCGGGTACCCACTTATGTATGTAATTGTTAAAATATAATACAAATTATAATTCTTATTTTAGTTAGGTTCATTTTTAGCGTTTAATACTTATATTTATATATGCATTAAGCTATTTGTACATATGTTAGGTATTAATAATACTTTTTTAATTTACAAATTAGATACATTCAACATATTTTTATCATTTAAAATTTATTTAGTTTAGCATATATTAGGTAACCGGGTACCCAACCGGTCTGGTTCCAAAAAGTTGAGAATGAGAATTGGAATTGGTTACCGGGTCCTTAATTTATTACCCATAATTGGAACCACCGTGTCAAATTCCGGTTCCGGACCCGCCGGTTCCTAACCGGTTCCGGTTCCAATTCCGGGTATCCGGAATTTTTGCTCATCCCTACGAATAACCCTATAATTATTCATATTTCGACTCGCATAGACACAATTATTTAGTACTTAGTATGACTCAAGTTTAAAATCAAACTTACCTAACTACATCGAACCCAACTCGAACATCCGAATTGACACCTCATAACAACCCTAGCTAAATTATGAATAAGGCCACTCTAATTCTCTAAGAGCAACTCCAATGGTTGCTTTTAAGGACTAGCTAGCAATTTTAATAATTTTCAAGCTAATAGCCAAACCATTGGAGGATACTTTGATAATTAGTTTGGCCAAGCTAATGCCAAGCAAATTAGCTTAACTAAGCTAATTAGCTTAGAAATTAATTGTCTCTAATAAAATACTAATTATTTAAAAAATAATGAATTAGCTAGAAGAAAGAATAGCTTTGCAATCCTAAGTGGCATGGCAAGCTAATTTGGCAATTAGCTTGCCGTTGGAGTTGCTCTAAAAAAATCGATCCAATCTAGCCCAATATATTGGGCTGAATAGCCCTAAGGATAACCCAACCCAACCAACCAACCAAGATTTATTAAGGTCAAACCACAAAAGTCAAAGGAAGGTCCCAATCCAAAGAAACTCATCAATAATTACAAAAATTCAAATTCCATAGCCGTTGTTACATATCTTGAAACCAACTTATTACGATCTTACGGAACTCAACAAACTATATTTTCCCACTTTTTAGTTTTTTTTTTTTTATTTCTTTTTGTCCTTTTTCTAAAAGGGTAATTAAGGCAAATTTAAATTATTTGAACCGCGAACCTAATCCTCACCGTCCAATCTACAACCTATTTTCAAATCCAAATAATCTCAACCCTCAATTTTCAAATCCAAAATTCAATTTTCACTCTCTTCATTGTCTTCAAGTTCAAACTTCAGAGTGAACTAAAAATGTCGGAGTGAGGAAGAGAGAGAAACTCAGTGAGTAAGTGAGGAGAGAGAAATTAGATTAACAATTTCAAAATCATGTTTGATTGATTAATTCAAATTTTAGGGAAAATACCCTTTAATTTTTTCAAAATTTTCATCGATTTTTTTTTAAGGATTTTATTCAAAATTTGGGGAAATAAGCAGCTGAATTTGAGCCACATTTTAGAAAACAATTTCAGGGTTTCGTCCGTTGCATATTTTGTTTCTTAATTCGTCAGTCAGGTAATTATTTTTTGTTTTCTTTTTTTTGATGAATTATAGTTGTAAGATTTTGATTTTGTTGATAATTTGATGTAATTTGTGTGAAATTGATGAATGTTAATGCTGAATTGAAATAGGATGATGCGGGATTTCAAGTTATCGCGTCGTAATCCCGAAAAGAATGAAGAAATTGAGAATGTACCTATAAACCCTAATGACCCATCTGTTAATTTAAGCAATTTAGATGCTAGTAGAGCTCCACTAGTTAATTTAGATCAAGAAGTGAGTGTTGTTAAGAGTAAATTTGAGAGAACACCTGTGAAATCAAAGGTTAAAACCTCGGAACCTCTTCGGACCCCGGAGAGGCAAGGGTTTGGGACTTTAGGAATGAAGAGGTTCGGGTTTTCGGGTGTGGTTGATGATGGTAAGTCTGAGATGAGTAGTTATTTGGGATTGGGACAATCTGGTAGAAATGGAGGTTCATTGAATTTGACACCTAGGGTTAATGCTAATGGGAGGAATTATAGTGGGTGTTCTGAGAGTACTTCAACTACTACTCAGACTACACCAACTAAGAGTGTGAGTAAGCCTCCAAACCCTGGGTATGCTGCACCAATGAGTAGCCAACGATATCCTGGAAATAGCAGTGTTCGTGTTGTGAATTATCCCGCGTTGTCTAGGAGGTTTTCGGTGTCTGGTGCTCAGCAATGTGTTGTTGATAGTGCTGATGTTCCACATTTTGATCTCAAAGAGGATCCGTCATTTTGGATGGATCACAATGTACAGGTACATTTAGTTGTTATATCCGATGTTTGGTTAGTTAACTCCAATAACTCGTACTTGGGAACAATTTTAGCATACTTCAGTGGTTGTTAAAAGTTGAATTCTGGAGTTCTTTTTTTGTAATATGGTGCAATGTTTAGGTTATATTAAGGGTTCGACCCCTCAACAGTGTTGAGAAAAATACACAAGGATACAATAGATGCGTGAGACAGGAGAGTGCACAGAGCATTACTTGGATTGGGCAGCCAGAAACTCGATTTACATTTGATCATGTAGCATGTGAAACAGTAGATCAGGTATAGTCAAAATCTGATTATCTTTTGCAACCTTATGTTTTTAAGTCTGAAAATGTTTCTGATATTATATGCTGATTGCAGGAGATGCTTTTTAGGATGGCTGGCTTGCCAATGGTAGAGAATTGTTTGTCTGGATATAACAGCTGCATGTTTGCCTACGGGCAGGTAATTCATCTTTTGTTTGTTTTGTTCTTCATGTTAAGTTAAAATGTGAAAAGGCTAATCTTAGTATATGTAATTTTTTGATTTTGGTGTTGAAAAGCTCTTTACTATTTTGATTAGCTGGTATACAGTTTTGCATATACGACATCCATATGATAAATTTGAGGAAAAAAGCATCAATATAGTATTGAAATGTATACATATTGTGGTCTTTTATGCGTAAAATTGTATAATTTTCCTTGTATCCTAGGTTGATAAGTTATATGTGGCTATTGATCCCACTGCCATGTAAGAATGTACTTCATTATTGTTTTTGCAAATGTTCATTCATATAAGGGATAGCTAAGATGGTCATAATATCCCTTACTATACTGATCTAATCAATGGCCATCTCTCCTGTGTTAGACTGGAAGTGGAAAAACTTACACAATGCTTGGGGAAATGGATGGTGTTGAATTCACACCTAGTGCACATCGTGGAATGACACCAAGAATATTTGAATTCTTGTTTGCTAGAATCAGAGCAGTAAGTATTATTTTTCTTCAACAATGTTGGCTGATCAACAAATTATTGGACCTCATGTGAGCTAAGAATATCTTCCATATGTTCTGATATCTCAGGAAGAGGAAAGCCGAAGTGATGAGAAATTGAAGTACAGCTGCAGGTGCTCTTTCTTAGAGATTTATAATGAGCAGATTACAGATCTCCTTGATCCATCATCAACAAATTTGCTTGTAAGCTTCACAACTTAATAACATCCAGTCCTTAATATTCATGAATGGCAATAACTCTACTAATGGTCTGTTACATAATCTAAACAGCTTCGTGAAGATGTTAACAATGGTGTGTATGTAGAAAATCTTTCGGAATTTGAGGTTCACACTGTAGGCGATATCCTGAGACTCCTGATCCAGGTTTCATTCTTATTGCTTGTTGACTTACTAAGCTTTTATCACTTGCAAACTTACTATGCGATCAGTTCTGCCCCTGTTGGCTTCTTGTTCTATACGTTTACTTGTGTCTGAATCCTGGAATGCTTGGCAATAGGGTTCCTCAAATAGGAAAGTTGCTGCAACTAATATGAATAGAGAGAGCAGCAGGTCTCACAGTGTATTCACATGTGTAATCGAGAGTAAGTGGGAGAGGGATTCAACAACTAACCTACGATTTGCTAGACTTAATCTTGTCGATCTGGCTGGTTCAGAAAGGTAACACCTGAACTTTAAGAGATTTCATTCCTGGCATATTTGCTTTTCCCAGTACTTCCTTTGGATTGGTGATGTCATGTTGATACCATGACTTCCCTTTGCAGGCAAAAATCATCTGGCGCTGAAGGTGAACGACTGAAAGAAGCTGCAAATATTAACAAATCCTTGTCAACATTGGGGTAATCTACTAGATGCTGAATTTTCTTTGCAACTGTTCGCTAACTTTTCATTATCCTTTTATTAACGATTGATGTTGTGCATGAAAAATATTTCTGCAGTCATGTAATAATGCTTCTAGTGGATATAGCTCATGGGAAGCCAAGGCATGTTCCTTACAGAGATTCAAGGCTGACCTTTCTTCTTCAGGTTACAGTTCATCTTTAAAACTAGCTGTTTTCATGCTTGCCTGTATCAGACCTCACCTTTTAGAGGTTGTGTTATGTAGGATTCACTTGGTGGTAATTCAAAAACCATGATAATTGCCAACATAAGCCCTTCTATCTGGTACGGATCTTGGAAGTTATGTGACTTATATTAACAAGTTTTAACACTACTCTTCTTCATCTTAACCTCAATTGATGTGGTCTTATCCAGCTGCGTTTCTGAAACACTTAACACACTAAAATTTGCTCAAAGAGCAAAATTGATTCAAAACAATGTAAGTTATCTTTCCCTCAGAAGCGTTACATACACTTACACATATCAGCTATCAAATTTTCTGTTGATTTGACATGTTTATATTGTTTTAGGCTGTGGTGAATGAAGATTCTTCCGGGGATGTTGCTATGCTACATCACCAAATATGGCTTTTAAAAGTATGCTTAGGAAATTATGTTGCTTATAAAGATTGTGAAATTGGTTTTGAGTCTTTCAACAGCTAATTGACGTTGCAATGTCCTAAAACAGGAGGAGCTTTCTGCTTTGAAACGTCAACATCTTTCTCGAGCTTTGACATTCGATCCCTGTATGGTGAGAGTCCAGGAAAACACTGACATTGGAAGTAGAAAAGAAGACGAACAGCCTGGAGAGTCGCCCGGGTGTGAATCCAAGGGGAACCTACAATTGTCTTCCAAACAGGTATTCTGGATAACTCTAAAAACTATTATGCTTCGAGAAAATAATTTTTTTTTTTTTAAAAACTTTATTTTTAAATCATCAAAATGAGCTAAATCATGGCATATTTTGTCTCAATAAATTTGTTGTGAATTTGGCTTATGTTTTTAGTTACTAGAACAGGGATTTCATATCATGTTTTCAGTTTTGAAGTATGTACTCCATGTTATACTGTGCAAATCTTAAAACACAGCAGTGTCTCATAATATTTTCATGTTTTTGATAGTTAAAATCCATGGAGTTGATGCTTGCTGGAGCCTTGAGAAGGGAGCAGATGTCAGAAAGTTCCATCAAGAAGCTTGAAGCTGAAATTGAGCAGTTGAATCGTTTGGTACTTGCTGTGTTTTCATGTGTGTAAAATTGCAGATAATACAGTTCAAGGTAGTGGACTCATTTAATATACTATGTTTCAGGTTCGTCAAAGAGAAGAGGACGCTAGATGCAGTAAAATGATGCTTAAGTTCCGTGAAGACAAGATTCAAAGAATGGAGTCCCTTGTGGGTGATTTGAAACCAGTGGATGCTTATCTGCTTGAAGAAAATGCTGCGCTCTCAGAAGAGATTCAACTGTTGCGAGCTAAAGTTGATCGGAACCCAGAAGTGACCCGGTTTGCTGTGGAGAATATTCGGCTTCTAGAGCAGCTTAGAAGGTTTAACCTCCCCTAGAAAAAATAGAAACCTTATTCATTGTTTCAGAATTAACTGGTGTAATTTGATGCATTTTCAGATTTCAAGACTTTTATGAGGAAGGTGAAAGAGATATGTTACTGCAAGAGATATCTGAGCTGCGGGCCCAGGTTTGTGCATTGATATGAAAATTGATATTTTTCCTTACAGTTCAGTTTCTTTTCCACAGTCGAGTAATTCTTATCATGTTTCTATTACAGCTTATCCGCTCTCTTGATAACATTAACCAGCAGCATAACCATGGAGACCTGGTTCAAGTATGTTATGCCTATTTCCTTTAATTTCTAATTGTTTTTCTGCTAAGTGTAGAAGCATGTTTGATTGGAGTAGTGAATTACTGTCAGAGTAATATAGCCTGATTGAGATATTTTCCTCAAAATACAATTAGAATATGGGAACTTCAGTTTGCGGCTGAGGAGTTTGCAAGAACTATTTTACAATGTCTTACAAATGTCCATATTGCAGGTGGTGCAGGAAGTTCCAAATAACAGCAAAGAAGCTGAAAGTGTCCATTCCGAGGTAGCAACTTCATATCCCAGCTATATTAATGGCTTGTAAATTTGGTAGTACTTTCAAGTCTTAATTTTCATTTTTTATTCTTTTTTCAAATTCAATCCTTTTTTTTTTCCAGTTAACTTGTACAAAGAAAGAGTTAGAAGAGTGCCAAAGCAAGCTTAAGTCTTGCCTAGAAACTAATGCAAAACTAAGCAGGTAACTGCTTCTCTGGGTATTTACTAGGATGATAGGTTTTCCAGAGCTTTTGTATTTTAGTTAACTAAACTGTTTCAATTGACTTGTATCTAATTTGCTGCAGAGAAATCAAGGACTTACAAGCTTATTTTAAGAATAAAGAAGCAGAAATACATGATGAAATTCTAATTCCTGGTACAATGAAGGTATTATAAACATATTACCGGGTCAAATATATATGAATGGCTATGTCTATATAGAAAGAAAAGCTTGCACAAGTTGAAGCTTGGCCAATAAAATTTGTTGCTTATTATGCTGTTCTTTCGTCGAAGCATTGGTTCCTTAGTGATAAAAATATTTATGAGATCTTGTTCATATCACAGAAAATGCAAGTTCCATGTCTCGGAGTTCAAGCAATTGATGCAGTTGATGAAAAGAGTTCCAATAAGGATAGAGATCAGGCAAGATATGCTGAAGAATTAGTGAATCTGGAACTAGAGCTGGATATACTGAAAATAATTCTGAAAGAAGAGAGGAATTTGCGTGGAAAAGTGGAGGAGACAGTGTCTTCATTAACTAGAGATGTCGAATTGGCAGAAGAGGGAGCGATATTAATAAGGAAGCAGTGGGAAGATGCCAAAGGGGATCTAACCGAAGCTAAGTCAGTAATTGAAGCACTTGAGTCTCAACAACTTTTATCTATCAGTGAGATTGAGGATCTTAAAATCCGTAACAGCCATTATTTGGAGCTGTTGAACCAGAAGGAACTTCAAGTTGCTGGACTAAGTGAACGAAGACTTGACCAAGAGTCTACCTTCTCATGTTTAAAGCAGTCTGAATCTGAAGATTCTCCCTTGCAGTTACAACTGAAGAGGATGCAAGCTTCTCTAGACAAGGCCAAACGTTTAAATACGTGGTACCAAAGTGACCATGCTTCTCAGAGATCTAACGAAGAAGAAATGGATGAAGTACGGCGGCAAGCTGAGGCAGAAACTGCTGAAGTGATTGTCTGCTTGCAGGAAGAACTTTCTGTGCTTCAGCACCGTGTGCAGGAGAGTGACTTGAAAGAAAAAGAGGCAGAAAGCAAGCTGCATACATTTGAGACCAATCTGAAGGAACTGCAGGAATCTTCTGACATGATGTCACGTGAGAATGAAGCTCTACGTCAAAGTCTTGCAGAGAAAAACATAGAGATGGAATCACTGGTGAAAGACTGGGAGACATTAAGCTGTGAGATTGAAAAATCTCTTATTGAGGGGCATGATGCTCTTACAAGTGCCTCTGATGAACTTGCTTCTGTTTCCCTTTCAAATAAAAGGGGCTGGATTTCTGAACAATTTGGTAAAATGATCAGGCAGGTATCTGACAAAGAATCAATAATTGAACAGCTTAACCGATGTTTAAAGGATGCAAATAGTAGAGCCAGTGACATGGAATGTATGTTGATGTCTCTTAGAGGTGCAGCAATGGCCATGACTGAGTCTCACCAACAAGAGTGTTATGAGAAGGAGATTGAAATACAGCAGCTGAGAGCAGAGTTATTGGCTCACCTCTCTGCTAAAGAAGAAGAGATATACATGTCTGAGAAGAAGGGTTGTGAAAGCAAAGAAGTTGTGGAAGCCGGAGTGCTTAGCCTGCAAGCAGCTTTCACTGACTTTGAAAATAAATGCGAAAGTAAAATCTTGGCTCTGGATCATAAATTGCACAAGGTTGAAGGATGTGCTCAAGAAGCTAAAAGCTCTTGGCACCAAAGAAAAGAAGTAAGTATTTTTTTTCGATTTATTTTTCTGATGAATGTGATAATATGTTGGTGACAAATGCATTTTACATCTGGAATAACTTATACCAAGCCGTCGCCATTTATCTTTTGTCACATGAGCCAATTAGGCAAGCACGTCACTTTACTACGTTCTGTTTGTTCATTTTCCATTTCCTATTACTCCTAAATCTTGGACATGTCTTAATTACTGTTATCATAGTGCAAAATGTACAAAGTTATAAGATTGAGGACAGTTTTTTTATTTTTTTTTTAATTTTTATTTGGTTAGAATTTTTTAAAAAAATAATAATAATTTGTCTTATTTCTTTCTTATGCTATTCTCTTTTCCTGCTACAGGTTGATTTTTTTGGTTTGTTTTTTATTTATTTTCTTATTTTGTTTCGATGTTTGCATATTAAATTTAACTCTTTGAAAATAAAATAGCATGTGATCAAACTCCATGTTCATAACGAAACAATCTCTATCATATAGCACAACTCTTGAGGTGTTTAGTGTGCACTTAAATTACTCGAACTGCCCCTACTTTTATATGTACACTTTTACAATTTATTGTTTTCAATATAATATGAGTTGTTATACTTGTTAAATAATATATGAAGCTCATATCACGTGCATTTAGATCTAGTAATAATAAAAAAAAAAATTATTTAAAAAAAAACTGCTATGAACAATGTGGGAATTCTTTTTCTTTTGTTATATTCTTTTTGCATAATCTGTTATGCTTTTGTGCTTTTGATCATCATGATTTCTGTTTTTGATCATCCTGATTTTTGCTTCTTAATTCCCTTATACTCTTTTTTGTAGTTACTTGAGCTGCAATTGGTAGATGCCAAATCAATTACTGCTCAAAATACTGTAGAGACTTCTTGCCTTCTTGCTAAGTTTGAAGAAGCTCAGGACACAATGGAAGAGGCTGATATAATGATCAATGAACTGCTTTTAGCAAATGAAACAGTGAAAATTCAAGTAGAAGACCTCAGAAATATGAACAACATGCTAACTACTGAAAGAGACAGTCTAATTAGTGAAGTAAAGCGACTAAAATCTGCTAATGAATTGAATGATCAGACATGTAGAGATCTTGAGAAACAACTTGAGACGGATGTTTCACAAAATTTGAGTCTTATTGAGGACTTGCAGGGTATCATTTCTCAAATGCAGAATACATCTGAGGAGGCGTTTATGTCTTTAACCCATGATTTTAACTGTATAAAGTCCCAGCTTCACGATACTGTCCTAGTGATGCATTCATCACTTGAGGACATTTGGTCACAGATTTTCATGAAGGATTGTGCTCTTTCAGTGTTACATCTTTGCCATATGGGGGTACTGTTAGAGGCAGTGACATCATTGAACGCAGAAAATGGACTTCTTCACCACAGAATATGTGAATCTGATGCTGTGGTATATGATTTGAGGGAGCACGACTTGAAATCAAAAGAGGAGCTTGAAATCTGCCAAATGCTCAAGAAGAAGCTGTTGGCTGACTTTAAGAGCAGCTTTGATCGCATCGTAAGGAAAGAAGGTGAAACCAGAGAGCTTAACTTGAAGCTGGACCATTTTCAAGAAAAGCTATCAATTCTTCAGCATCAGGAAGAGTTAATGTTGGAAAGGTCGAACTTCATGAGTTCAGAGCTTTCTAGTTTGATGATGGAGTTGGGTCAGAGCAATTCACAAATGATGGCATCCCTAGCCGAACAAGAGGAGCTGTACACTGTTGAACGGCATTCAAAAGACGTTGAGCAGCTTATATTGACTTCCAAGCTTCAGGACTTGGCTGTCAATTGTGCTTCTATGCAAAAGGAACAAACAAACTTCCAGTCTGCTTTTGATTTCTTGATGTCAGAGGTTGTTATCCTCCAGATAACAGCAGATCTGAGAGAAGAACTCATGTCTGAAAGGGAAAAAGATGCCATTAGAATGCAGAAAAGAGCTGATGAAGCTGTGTATGGTGAGGCACAAGTGTTGAGCCAGATACAAACACTCAATGCAGAGAACAAGTCTTTAAGAAAGCAGCTGACCTTGAGGGAGAATGATTTCAAGAATATGCAGAATGGGATGTTTTTACTGCAATCTTCGTCTCAAGATCTTCAAAACAACCTATTGATGTTGGAAAGAGAAAATGAATCAATGCAAAACCAATTACTTGATCTGAAGAGTGAAAATTGCATCCTGGGTAAGGATATCCAGGAGAAAGACACTAATAAAAAGTCATCTACGGGATTTATTGATACACTCAAGATGGAGAACTCGAGATTACTAGAGAGAATTTCTAATTTGGAGTCTAAAATTGCCTTCCTTGAAAATGATTTGGATCTGAAAAAGGCAGAGCTTATTGACTTCCAGTGTGTCCAATCTTCTACAGTTGAGGCACTGTGCAACAAGAGCCAGGATTTGGAAAGCTACACCACTAAAGTGAATGCACTACAGGAAGAGAACCTCATCTTGAGAAACAAAGTTCGGTCTCTAGAGCAAAGAAACACTGAAGAGCTTAGCTGTTCCAGTTCTAAGGTCGCCAAGTGTGCCAGTTCATTTGAAACTGCAGAGCTACAGAGTTGCAGGATGCTTAAACAGCTTGAAGAAAAAATCATGATGATTCTGAATCAAATGTCTGAAGATGGTTGTCAAAACCTGGATTTGGTGTCAAGGTTTTTAAAGGAGTTGGAGTTCATAGACTCTATGGCCAATAACCTAGTATCTGAGAACTTGTCCATGCAAGAAGAATTGCTGAGGAAAGACGAGGTTCTGAATGGATTGCTGTTTGACCTACGTCTTTTGCAAGAGTCTGCAGCCAACAGTAAAGATCAAAAGGATGAGATTGAAGAACTAGCTGCTGCTTTGGAATCTACAGAAAGTGAATTAGCTACCAGATCACATGAGCTTGACGGGGCAGTCACCTATGGACAAATGCTTGAAGCTAAAGTGAAGAGACAAGGAGATACTGTATCTGCATTAGAAATGGACTTGGATAAGGCTAACCAGTCTGTAAACCTGCTCTCTGATGAGAATTTGTTGTTGAGGTCTCAAGTTGAGGATATGCAGGCAGCAAGAAGCTCTCTTGAGAGAGAATTGAGCGAGAAAAAGAGCATAATTGACAGCTTAGAGAATGAACTACTTGAAATGGGAAACACTCTAGGCCATGTGGATGATTTAGTTGAATCTTTAAAGAGCAACTTGAATGAAGTAAACAATGAAAAGGATCAACTCCAAGAGGAGCGACAGAATCTAGAAGGAAAGGTGGAAACTGCTAATGCTCTTGCTGAGGAGAATGAAGCCATTGCTGCAGAAGCTCAACAGGTACCTGTTGATATAAGCATGTGTTGTACATATAATTTTTCTTTTAATCTAGAAGCAGAGAATATTCATCCATTTCCAAATGCAGATAGCTGAATCTAGGAGGATTTATGCTGAAGAGAAAGAAGAAGAGGTTCAGCTTTTAGAGAATTCTGTTCAAGAGTTGGATTCGACAATCAGTGTATTGGAAAACAAGGTGCTTTTCTTTCTTTTCACATTTTTTTTACTTTTCAGTTAACTCTCACTTTATTGTGATCTCATATATTATTTTTGTCTATGCAGCTTGATGTACTAAAAGGAGAAGCTGAAAGGCAAAGGTTGCAGAGGGAGGAGCTAGAATTGGAGCTTCAGTCTCTAAAAACCCAGATGTTGAATGTTGAAAATGCTGATGCTGACATTAAAAGGTTTTTGAATGTCATTTAAATGTTGTGTATTTGATTGGATTAAATTATTGCTACAACATGTTACTGATACTGTGGTGATGATCTTTTTTTCTTTGCAGGCATTTTGATGATAAATCAAGAAATCTCCAAGAAGCCTTAATGCGTATACAAGTTCTTGAGAAAGAGTTGAATAATAAAGACACAGAGGTTTTTTCCGATAACTTATCTTACTTCTCTTGTTTGAAGATTTCAACTGTGACCTGATCCAAATATGATTTTGGTTCTTTTATCTGTTTGTAGATTGCTAAGTGCAAAGCACATATTACTGAGTTGGCACTGCATGCAGAAGCACAGGCTAGTGAGTACAAACACAAGGTTAGAATTTTTTATTATTTATTTATTTATTTATTTATTTTTATCCCTCAAGGTTTTGAAGTTCATGCTGTCTTCTCTGGGACCCTGATGGCACAATTTGTTGATTTGCATTTCTTATATTATATTAATAAACTGACGTGCAGTTCAAGGAGTTGGAAGCAATGGTTGAACAACTTAAATCAGAAGAGGTTTCCAACCATAAGTTGGAGAAAAATACCAGCAAAGGGAGGGGATCTGCCTCCCCTTTCAAGGCTAAGGGTTCAGGTTCTCCTTTCAAACCAAAGGGTTCTGGTTCCCCTTTCAAGTGCATTGGTCTAGGATATCAACTTAGATCAGAGAAGGATGAGGACTTTAGTGCTGAAAGGCAACGCATAGAGGAGCTTGAAGCCTTAGCTTTAAGTAGACAGAAAGAAGTAGGTTATTCTGACACTAGGACTTTTGCTTTCCTTTCTCTGAATACTATGTCATCTATTATATTATGCGCAGTTCCTCTCTAATTTAATTACTTTCCCTCCAGATATTTACGTTAAATGCAAGATTAGCCACTGCAGAAAGTATGACACATGATGTAATCCGAGATTTACTAGGAGTAAAAATGGATATGAGCAATTATGTGGTAAGTGTGTGGAGGTCGTGATTGGCCTGGAACATATTCGAGTCACTTAGAATGTATCTTAGATGTTAATTAGTTTGTGTGTATTTGCACAATTTTATAAATCTGATTGTGATTGCTCCCCCGTTTACTGATTGCAGACACTGCTAGATAAACAAGCTGTTAAAAAGATTGCAGAGAAGGCTCAACTTGATAATATACAGCCGCAGGTGAAGTATAAGTTTTAACGAGTTAATACAGATCTGTTTGGTAGGGATACCTTAGTCCTAAAAAGCATTGGCTTCTTTTTTTGTTTGGCTCAGGACCAGGAGGTGGTGAACAAGTTGAAAAAGCAACTCAATGAGTTTATTGAAGAAAGGCAAAGGTAAAATCTGTTAATGGAATTTAGACTTATCAATGATTTTACTCATCCTCACTGACATGCTTTGAATTAAATTTTAGATGGCTCGAAGAAATTGACAGTAAACGGGCTGAGTTGGTTGCTGCACAGAACGCATTAGAAAAACACCTCCAGCAAGAGCAGTTCCTTGCCTCGGAAAATGAAGATTTAAAGGTTAGGATACCTCCTCTTACAGATTTCTCTTTTGAAATTGTTGAAAAATATACACCGTACTTACTTTTCCTGTGTAAGTTGCAGGTAAAGATACATAATAATAGTGAGAGAGTAACGGAGCTTGAAGGGGAGGTGAAGAAATTATCAGGTCAGCAAAACATCCAACAGCGTATACACCATCACACCAAAATCAAGGTAGTATCTAATCTTATCTAATTTGGATGATCACTTATATCTTTTGCTCCCCAAATCATAGTTAGCTACAAAGGCACTGGCGTTTTGTCAGATTTTATACAATTTCTCAGATATTATTTTCTATAATTGTATCAGGAAGAAAACTATGAGCTGAAAAGCCAAAATGAAGACCTTTGTCGTAGATTGCGGAGAGCTGAGTCATATCTCACACGTATAAAGGAAGAACTGGCTCATTATCGTTCTTGCAATGGAAGAAGTCCTTACATTTCTTTTGACGAGGAACACAGACTAAAGAGAAAAATAAAGGTTAGTTTAGGCAAAATTGTTTGATTCTGGCTAGAGTGAGCACTGGTAGTTTTAAGTGGTTCTTCAACTGACAAAATGTGTGTTTTTTACAGGAGATCGAACAGGAAAAGCTACACCTGGCACAGACATTATTTGAGCTATATACAAGCATTCTAAAGGTAGACACTTAAATTCAGCCTGTGCTGTATCATAATACTAGCCTTATATTTGGCTTGATCGTGTTGCTAATGTCTGAGTTTTCTATCCATAGGCTGCAGGAGCTAGGAAACCAGCATCTGAAGTCAACCATTCTGCAGCTGAAGAAGCTCTCCAGGAGCTCGCAACTCGAGTGATTTCATTGGAGAGAGAAGTTGATGATTTAAAATTAAAGGTCCATATACTTACCTAGCCATTTACATCTATTCTATATCTTGATAACATGATAAGTGATAAAATATTACTAGTATATCAATAGGATCGCGACTTACTGTATTTATTAGCTTCTGCTGCTGTGATTTCAGTACTGATATGTATAATGCTGGTCTTTACAGAATAGGGTCACCAACGAACGAATCCGATTATCAGAGCTTAGGCAAGATCCTTCACCATTTAGGTCGAGGTCAGGGGATAATCGCCAAACTCCTAGAAGAGGTTCCCAATCACCATTTTTTTCGGCACTTGATCGATAGGTGAAGCCACAGAGTACTAATTAGGCCATGTATAGCAGTAAGTTAATAACTTTCTGCAAAATTGTAAATATGTGTATTCTTTATTTACCAGTAAATGTAAGCTTAGTTTGCTGGCTTGTATAGGTTTATTCATTTGTTGTATGTAACTTATACGTATGATTTTGTTAAAATCAGTGTTTATAGCAATTCATGCGTTGTGAATTGTTGTCACTTAAGTTAATATGATGTTGGGAAGAAATTGCGATTGTGCAAGAAATACTCTAGGAAATAATTACTTCGTATATGAAATATTCTTAATTTACCTACTTACTAATAAACTTGATTAAAAAGAAGTATTACATAGTTACATTATAATGATTGCATAAAGTTACTATAAGCACGAAAAATTTATATAAGTGTCACATTGGATATTATATGGGTCAAAAGTCAATTTATTGACTTGATACTAATTTGACTATTAATTAAAATTAATTATATTGGGTGAATAAATTTAATTAGCCCATTTCAGTTAGTTTAATTAAATTATTTTTATAATAGTTAAAACCCAATAAAAATGGGATTTGTTAAACATCGCCCACAAATTACTACATAAAGCCCACAAAATTCACTTGGTTTCCCTAAATTGCCCTTGACCTTAAAAAAAAAAAACTCTCACACTCTCATCACTCACACTCTCATCACTCACACTCTCATTGCTCATCTTCTTTCAACCTCTCTAAAAAAAAAAATTCAAAATAACGGCAATGTCGAGGCGGCAAGGCAAGGAAGTGGCGGCGGCGGCGGAGGGAAGGATGTCCCAACGTGGAAAGGTATATTTTGTTTAAAAAAAAAAAAAAAAGGGGGAAAACCGTCGTGAACGCGGTGGGGCGCCCTGGCTGGACGCCCAGCCGGCGGTGGTGGCGCCAGATGCAGACGCCGCCACCAGTTGGCTGGCGCCTGGGCTGGACGCCACCGCCACGGTTGCGACGCTTAGACTAAACGCCACCGATTACATCATTCCACCCTTCCACGTACGACATGATGATCGCAGGTATCCTTTCCTTGTACGGAAACTGATCAACATCGTTTCTTCCTATTCACCAAATAATTAATTATAGACAGTTAAGAAGACAGGAGTAACACTTTAAAACTATGTGCAATAAAAACAACCAAAACGTACCAGTTCTCAGGGGCATATTCACAGACGATGAAGATTGACTACGACTAGATGACGATGTCCGACCACGAGAACGACCACGACCATGACCACGGATATACTCAAACGCACTCCTGTTCCGCCGTTGTCGACCTCGAGGACGGTCAACTCCTTCGGGTTCCTCATAATCTAAGTTAGACGGGTGGAACATGTCATGAAGCACATGAGTAGCGTCACGAATAATAGAAGGATGGCTGGAGGACACTCGGTCGTACATCGAACGGAACTGCTCCAACTCTTCCTGTTCACGGTCGGCCGTTTGATTGTCTGCATGCTCACCAATAACAAGCGTCCTCCAGAATGAATGGACCTGATCAACATGTAACGACGCCCTTTCTTCTGTAATAACGCGATGAATGGTGCATGCGCAAGGTAATCCATGAGTTACTGAAATAGTACACCCACACCGAGTATACACTTCGTCAGCCAAGTCCCTCACCCTGTTCAGCTCAGTGAGAATCAACCCCAAGCAGTAGTGCGACACACGACCATGGAGAATCTTAAATATAAAATGGCTATACATCGTACCATGTCGTCGTCTGGAGTCCTCTAGAGAGTTCCTGATGTCGTTCTTCTGAGTTTCAATTGACTTGTTCAGTCTAGCGAACAGTGTATCCAAAGCAGCGGTCGATGAATCAATCCAGTCCTTGGTAGCTCTATGAGCACTCTCAACTCTACATGTTGTAGTGTTCCCAAAATGAAGTACCTGGTTTGTCCAATATTTGACAAACTTTTCCCTATGAGGGACCCATTGATGCATCACATAGTCCACCAGTGCCGGACACCACTGGTACGAATCCCTGAAGTTAGCCAATGCTCGCTCATACGCTTCCTCTGTGGTAGCCTGTAGGATCTTCCGCCACTTACCATTCACCAATCTCTCTGCCATTTCCAAATTCTTCCTGAAAAGGTTGTAGGCTTTCACTTTCACGCAGTTGTTGATGTGCCATGTGCACAATAAGTGGTTCGATTCGGGAAACAGCTCTGCTATGGGGGCAAAGAGACCTCCCTCACAGTCGCTGACGATGGCTGCTGGATGAACATTAGGCCCGATGTAGTTTCTCAGCTTCTCCAAAACCCAATAATAACTTGGAGCCGTCTCATCCCTGATGATTGCATGACCAATCAGAAAGTTCTGGTTCGTTGGAGCCATCCCAACCATCTCAACCAGAGGGAACTTGTACTTGTTTGTCTTGTACGTTGAGTCGATCAAAATCACAAATGGCCAAGACTTGATCATATCAGCACAATCAGGATGCACAAGGAAAAGATGAGTCACCTCCGCTGTATCTTCATCAGAATCAAACCAGAACAGGTAACCACGTGATTGTGCCTGGTGTAGCAGCTGCTGTATAGGGTTCCTTCCCTCTGACCGTTCAAACCTGAGTTGCTGTCTGACGTTGTAGATGTGTCTTCGGTTTGGATGGTCTTCTGGAAATTTTTCTAACACAGATGCTAATATTTTAGCAGGCTTCACTTGAGCATCACTCATTTCTTTCACAACTAGTTTCGCAGCAGGACTTAAGCCGCTCAGTTGTCGATGACCCTCTTCATATACTATCATCTCATGGTTGTGATACCCCCATTTAGAGTAACCTATCACTTCCCAACCGTCACGACTTCGTAGTTGTCGAACCTTTACTCTGAACTCACACCCACAACCTTTCCGCTTTGTGTCAAACCGAGTGGCTGTACGAAAATCTCTTTCTTCTCTTTTGCGATAACGGTCACATCTCAAAATGCGATCCATTCTACCATCCCGTTGAGATTTATGAGTTGCTACTACCAAGCAAAATCCAGCTGCAATTGCAACCTGTTTTGCCCAATCAATCGCCTGTTGAGCTTCTTCGAATGGACCATCATGTCCAAATATCTCACTGTAATCATTTCCGTCTCCACCATATTCCTGCATCAATTATATATTACAATAAATACATTTAACGGATAATACATTTAATTTCTATATTTCCACATAATTAACACAAAAAAAAACATAATTATATATAATCAAACTTAATTTTTATAAAAACCCAATTCGAATTTTCAAACAAAATTTAAAAATATACCATTTCGAATTTTCAAATTTAATTTTAAAAAAACCTATTTCGAATTTTCAAATTTAATTTACAAAAAACCCATTTCGAATTTTTTTAAAAAATCATTTTCGATTTTTTATTTTCACAAAAAAATTAAATAAAAAACAACAACAAAATCAAAAAGGAAAAAATAAAAATTAATTATTAAAGGTGGCGTCTGCCAGGGCTGCCACACCCACTGGACTGGCGCCTGGCAGGGCCGCCTCACCCAGTGGAGTGGCGTCTGCCCAGGACGCCAGTCTAGTGGTCTGGGCGTCTGGGCTGGACGCCACTCAGGTGGTCTGGGCGTCTAGCCTGGACGCCACTCTGGTGGTTCTGGCGTCCGGCTTGGACGTCCAGGCTATGGTTTGGGCGTCCATCCTAGGCGCCGTAGCCACTACGACGGTAAACCGTGAATTTTAGCGGTCACTTACCTCGTTTTCCGTCGACGACGACGTACCTCCGGCGTCCCCCGCATCTCCGGCCTGCCATCCGGTCTCCCCCGACGAGCCAATACGGCTCCACATTTTTTACACCGAGATTATCTCAATTTTAGCAAAAGGGCATAATGGTCAAATCATAACATATTTGTGGGCTTTATGTGGTAATTTGTGGGCGATGTTTAGCGTTTCACATAAAAATGGGTTATGATAATCAAGCAGGCCCACCTCCATTGTACATCAAACCCTAACCCTATGAGTCACTCACTGTATAAATAGAGCTCTCTCTAAGAGGGGAGGAAAAACCTAAAAGGGAGAGAAAAAGAGAGAAAAACCTAGAGAGGAAAATAAGTAGATACAAAATTCAAAGAAAGCCTCTCAAATATTTAAAACCTTTTCAAAGAAACCTCTCAAGAACACCAGTTCAACCTCTACATCAAAACCTCGTCGGCCCTCAATCAAGAACTCAAGTCAAAAGTCTACATCAACAACATGTCAAAGGTCTACATCAACATAAGTCAAAGTTCTACATCAAAACCTTTGATCGAGAACAAGCCTCAACGGCCCTCGTTCAAGAATCAAGTCAATCTTTGAATTACGTCAAAGTCAAAGTGAAGATCGAATTGGAGGAGCAAGTTAGAGATTGTACCCATAAATCATCAAATTAATAAAATTAACTTGTTGTTGCATTAGTTTTGAATCTATATAATTTTTCAGATTTAATATTTGTGTTTACAGTTACCAAGGGCATCGTTGGGGAAATCAAGTTTACAGTTTTTTTTTTTTTACAACGGTTTAAATAAATGTAACAATATTATGAACTATGAGCCTTACTAGCTCTTTTGTTATAACGAGTATATATATTAAATTAAAGGACATCTTATGTGCTTGATCTTGCCGGTTTGAGAAACCTACCAATTGCCTTTGAACATGCAATGGCCAATGAGGAATATAACATTCTATTATTGGATCTCTCTTTCCATTGAACTTGGAGAATATATAAGAAGACGAGAAACAAACAAATTAACGAGTTGAAAAGGACATCATCAAAACATTGATTAGTATAGTTGTGGTTTACTTTTTTGAGTTATGAGATGTTTCTTATATCAATAATATGTAGTCCAATTTGATTAGTGTAATTGATGAGCGAAACATTGGTATGATATGATATGAGAGAACCAAGAGTGAGGAGAAAAATAGTAAAATTGTTGAAAGGTTCCAAAAACAGAAATGAAGCTTTTATTTGAATACAGTCGTAAAATTAAAGGAAATTTAATCTTTTATTTAAATACAGAGTGTATTAAATTATAAGTACATAATTTAAATAATAATGAAATACAAAAAAGAGGTACATTTAGTCATGGATACATTGGGAAAGCTACATGTGTTGCACATACTTAATACACTTCATTGATCAACACAATCATGCATTTACCTATTACTTATCTTGACTGAAAATATTAGAGAGATCGG